TGGCTGCGCAGCATGTGTTCTTTCTGCCTCTTGGCGCACGCTGGGGCTCTGCTCCTGCCCTTGCCTCTCCTTCCTTGTATGGCTGAGCACAAGGAAGTGTTATTTTCTTCAAAAAGTGAAGTGTTCTTTTCTTCACTTGTTGAGCAGCCTAGCCCCAAGCGGAATGCTCTATCATTACGTTCAAGTTGCCTTCGTGCCATCTGGCCCCTCACCAGCCAGAAGTTGCGTGCTTGCCTCTGCCTTCTCGGAGGCACTAGAATTTGTCTCTGTTCTGTTTGTAATGCACACAGGACTGGGCTATTAATCATGCCACAGGCCAGGCTGCACAGCACCTCTAGAATAATGAATTACCCAGCTCCTGCCAAAATGAGTCCCACCACAGCCACGAAGGAAACTTATCTCTCCCCGACTCTCTCCTCATCTTGTTCCTCCCACTTCCCTCTCTCATCTCCTGTGATCTGTCTTGACAGTTGTAATTGGAACATTTTCTCCCATATTTAAGTTCTGAAGTGTCTCTGGGACTTGCTCATGTATCCAAAGGCTTAAACAAGGCCCGTCAAGGACGTTTATTGCTTTCTAGCATGGGCAGTTAAGCGTAGCTTACAAGCAGCTCTGGGTATATAGGACCAGGAATATAAATGTGCCTTTTGGAAAACAAGAGAATCCCAGGGGGGAAAAATGATCTTAATGATGATATCAAATGAAGGCTTAAAGAAGAAGTAATTTCTGGCTTGGTCACATGACAAAGGATGCAGAGGAGTTGGGATGCTGTGACCTTTGGTTTGAAGGGGTTGTTTGGGAGGTTTGGGGAGAGCAGCCTGAGAGAGGATCTGAGATGCTGTGTACTGAATAAAGGAAACATCTCTCTTCACTAACCCTTCCCTCTTCCTGTGGGATAAATCCAGGACCACCTAACGACTGGGACCTCTCTTTTTCCTTACTGTCGAAATACACTTTCTCAAATTATTGCTCTATACATATTGTCACTAAGAAATGCTTTTAGCTGTACTTGTGTTTCTTATGTCACCGGAATTCTGGAGGCAGGCAGTCCAGGGTTGGTGTGGTGGCTCGCTGATGTCTTCAAAACCCAGGCTCCTACCTTTCTGCCCTGTCATCATTAATTTGTTGACTTATTGCCTCATGGTTGCAAGATGGTTGCTGTAGCATGTTTTTATTCAAGGCACTAAGAAGTAGGGAAGAGGTGTCAAGACACCAGCTATATTTGTCACTTATTTCAGGAAAAGCAAAAGCTCTTACAGAAGCTCCTAGAAGCTCCTAGAAGATGTTTGCCTGAGTCTCGTGAGGTCACATCCTTAACTGCCATCCTTAGCTGCAGGGAAATCTGGATAAACAAGTTTAGCTTTCCTATACTCTGAAATGGAGGCAGCAAGGGCAATGAGGGCTGAAATGCCTGTTGGGTTAGCCAACAAACAGTACTGGCCACAACCAAGTAGAGGGAAATCGAAGAAGACTAAACTGGGCAGGCAAAGGCAGTCTCACCTCACAGTAGAGGAGAAGATAATGATTAATATTCTTGAGCCCACTCTATGCCAGGTTTTGTGCTAGGCGGCATACCTCCATGCATACATGCCACAGTGGAAAGCTAAGCTCTGAGCAGTCTTCTGGATGCGGTTCAGTTGGGAACCTGGACTTGAATCCAGGTCTGTCTGACTTGAAAGCCTATTCATGCTCCCTCTAGGAAAAGCTGAGCACTGGTTTGGGGTGTGCCTCATGGAATCTCAGCACCTTCATTTGAGTGGCCACACCTTCAGTTACCTGTAGACAAAGTAGGAATCTGAAGCAATTATTTTATGGGCCCCAAAAGGTTTTTTTAAGTGAATTCTCAGGTCCTTACAGTGTGATGATAGTTAAAAAAAGAACTAGCCTGGGAGGCAGGAGACCAAGCTCTGATTAAAACTTGGTGCTGAGTTGCTCAGTGATCTTGGGTAAGTCATTTTTTTCTCATCTGGGAAATGGAAGGTTGGACTAGATGATCTACAAAAGGTCTAACAGCCTTAAGACACTTAGGTTTTGCTCCTTTCTCTCATGCATCTTTCATGTGTTCATTATTTCAACAAGTATTTATTAAGTGCCTACTCTGTGCCAGGCACTGTTCTGGTACTGTGGACCAGTCAACAAAGCAAAGATCCCTGCCCTTGTGGACTTCATGTTCTAGTATGTGTGTGTGTTGGGGACAGGGACACAAACAATGAACAAAAAACGTAATAAATTAGTGACAAGTCAGTTACACAGTTTTCAGAAGATGACCCGTTCTCTGGGGAACAAAAGTGGGAAAGGGGAAGGGATCTGGCAGTGCTGGGAGAGAGGTTCGGTGGTCCTCACTGAGAACACAGCATTTGAGCAAAGACTTTATGGAGGGGAGGCAGTCAGCCAGCTCATAATTGGGCTTTGGTCCCGCAGGCAGAGCAAGTACCAGGAGTTTGCCCGAGTTTCCTGAGCATTTCCTTCCCCTGTCTGAGGACTGGCCTGGAGCCTTTCTCATCCCAGTTCCATCATTTCCTTTCAGCTGTGTTGGCTTTCAAACCAGCTCAAGCTTCCTAGACTTAAAGGCCATTTAAATTTGACTTTGCTGTGGCAAGTAGGTGCATAGAGCCTGGCCACCACCTTCATAATTTGTACCTCGGTTCACACTGCAGAAACACTCGGTTCCTCGAGATGTTGGGAAGGTGGTGGGAGAACTACGAAGGCCTGGAGTCTTATCAAAACAGCCCAACCCACCAGTTCCAGACTGTTCTTGCTGCATTTCTTGTTGAATGCTTCCTGCACACTAGTGACTCAGGGTTTTCATCATGTTCCCCAATGATTGTCTGTGTCAGTCAACCATAACGTTCCAGGTACAAGAGAGCTGTGTGGTCACCTTTACCGGTGACTGCTTCTGAGCCAGCCTGTGATGGGCGGCCTGGGCTTTCCCCATTAGCTGCAGAAGGAACCGCAGTGAGAAAGGCCAGCAGCCTGCGGGAAGACTCAGCCATTTGCTGGGCTGTGCTGACTCTGTGTGTGTGTGTGTGTGTGTGTGTGTGTGTGTGTGTGTGTGTGTGTTCAGTGACAACTTTGAATACATTTGAAATGGAAGAAAGAGAAAGGACAACAGTTGACTCCTTGAGTTGCGTTCTATGCAGAGAAGTTACTTAGAATCTGTGGACAGTGGTTTTGCACAGGTGCGTTGTTATCCCCATTTGGACTGAGAACCTCTATGAACTGTAATATTTATGTGGACAGGTTGATGGCTTGTGAATTAAAGAATCCCCCCTTGGTCCTAGTGTGGGGTTAGCGTGTGCCCCAGCCGCCTGCTCCAAGGTAGATCACACTTTAGGCAAGAGTCTAGACCCCATAGAGAGCCCCCTCTAGGTTGTATGGGCCACAGTCCAAATACTGAACAAGGCTGGGTATCACCCACTCGATATTGAGAATTCAATATGAGCCATCCTAGGGAATGGCTCAGGGTGGATTTCATAGTTCTCTTCCAGTTACATATCCTTTCTGTGTGGCCTTTACATTTGTTTGATGGGAATAGCAAGGGAACTTAACTTTGATCTCTGAAATCTGAGTGAGGTTGCCGGTGAGAGTTGGGAATTATGTACAAAATACAGGATACATTTAAAATGAAAGGAGGGTGAAAGTCTTCCTCAGGACTGTGGGCCATTGAACTGAATTTTACATGTGTTTTCTAATGGTTTTCCCATCTTTTGATTTGTTTCCCTCCTATGCACTATTTAGAAACTACTGAGCCGTGGACACAGAGTAGGGGAGAAGCATAGTGCTAGAGATGGAGATTGCACAGGTTGAGGTGGAGACATTAGACTAGAAAATTCTGATAAGACCATAAAAGTCAGTCTGAGAATAAGAAAGACGATAAGGGTATAGGATTTCTATTTTACATATTTGTCTACTTACAAGATAAAAGATATTGTTCATTCATTCAACAAATATATCAAACACCTACCACTACTGTGGCCGGCTCTCTTCTAAGCACTGAGATACAGCAGTAAACACCACCATCCAAAAGCTTCCCTGTCTGCATCTTGCCTGGTTACATGATATGAAATTGCTGTTTCTGTAGGTTAAAAACAATTGATTATAAATACAATATGATCTAGCATTTACTCTATGATCCAGCCATTCCACTCCTAGGTTTTTACTCAAAAGAAGTAAGAGCGTGCATCCAAACAGAGACTTGTACATGAGTATTTGTAGCAGATTTATTTTTAATGGCCTTGACTGGAAGCAACCCAAATGTCCATCAACAAGTGAATGGATAAACAAATCGTGGTATATCCATATGATGGAACGCTCCTCGGCCGTGAGAAGGACTGAAGGACTGATACACGCGGCAATATGGATGGACCTTAAATACATTGTGCTAAGTGAAAGAAACCAGAGGATTTCATTTTATACAACACGTTAGAAGATGCAAACTAATCCATAGTAACAGGAAGCAGATCATTGGTTGCCTTGGAACAGGAACTGGGGTTGGGGACAGGAAGGGCAGGAGGGAGAGACTGCAAAGGGGCAAGTGGGACCTTTTGTGGTGACGGATGTGTTTGCTGTCTTGATTGTGGTGATGGTTTCACAGGTGTATACACACATCAGACACTTTCAAATAGTACACTTTGAGTATGCCCAGTTAATTACATGACGGTTATACCTCAATGAAGGTGTTAAAAACAGTGGAACAGCAGCAATTTCATATGTTTCAATCAATAGATAAATGTTAGTGCTAAATTCATGTTTGAAACCTTATATTCATTTTTCATACCTGGATTGAAAAAACTCACCATGTGTTAGGCACCGTGAAAGTTATTATCGATGGAAAGCGAATGAGGCTGTTCCTGCTTTTAAGCTTAGCGGGCAAAATCAGTTTGTAAAGAGACAGCTGGACAGCTTTCCCACAGGCAGTTCTGAAGCAATTACCAGGTTTAACCAAGTTATCCTCTGTTGACTGCATTTACGCATGTGTCCGTGCCTTCCTTCTTTTTCAGAGTGACTTGTGGTCTTTGGGAATCACCGCCATCGAGATGGCAGAAGGTGCTCCCCGTAAGTACCTTCCTCTGGGTGAAATCTGTTACTGGTCTGCCCTGCAGGTACTGACGCTTCCTTGCCAGGAGCTGCAGTGGCTTTATTTCTGCTACACCAAGCCCTGCATGGACTCAAGCTGGCATACTGAGAAAGCAGAGTCATCTTAAATCAACCAGGAATCCATTCATTTCAGAGGGGTGTGAGGATCTTGTGTTTATGAGGGGGAACAAGAATGCAAAGGGAAGCAAACTTTGAGAGTCTAATCTGTTTCCAGATCTGGTGTGTGGTTTATTCTTGAGCTACTCTTCGCCTGTGGTAAAACTGCGACCAAGGCACAAAGGCTGTAAACGCCAACGTAACAAAAATTCACAGCTGATTTTCAGTGCATGGGTTATGTGAACACCTGCACTCCATTTCTCTCACTCCCATTAAAATACCGCTGTTTAGAGTTTTAGATTTCCCTGCTTATTGGAGGCAGAGTGGCCAGGGCTCTGCCTACCTGGAGAACCTCTCCAATTCCTGGAGATCTTGAGCACAGACCCCACAGAGAATCTCCCCAGCCCTGTGGTCACCACGAGCATGCATCTCAGAGACTCCACGCAGGAAGTGCAACTGACCAGGGGCAGCTGTTGCCGTGACACCGGGGCTGCACCTCCCGAGGGCCACTCCGCACCAGTGACCGAGCGTGGCAGGGATATAAGGCAGACCCTTTCCTGGAAGACAGGGATTCCTTAGAAGGCAGCTTTCACTCCTTAGTTTCCCTCCTTGGTTTCCTTAGAGTGTGGGACAGCCTAGCACACTCCACCTACTTTTTCTCCCTCCCAGCATACTTCGTAGCAATCTGACAACTCTCCCAGCCTTCCCTCACTCCTTCTCTGTTCAGACAAGAATTTCCCCCAGTAATATCCTCTCATGTTTAATACCACCTTGGTGTCTGCTTTCCAGAGGACGCGGACCAAAGCAGGCCCCCTGTTTGTATGACGGGTCATTGTGCTCATAGGACCTTTTACCCTCAAGTTATCATAGTTTTCTTATTGCTCATTCCAGAGTTGGTAGAATTCATCTTGTAGCATGACTGGAGTGTTTATTGACAAAATCCCCTCATCCACAATGCTGATAGGCATTTATGAATCAGAAGAATAATACTGGCAGTCTTGAAACCATATCGTCATTCTTAATGAGTAATAGAGAGGGCTAAAAATAAATTTCCACCCACCGAATTCTTTAGCTTTCGGGGAGAATATGTTCTTATTCTAGGCACAAAGGAAGAGATACTCCCAGATGAAAAGTAAACTAGTGAAATATTCTGATTAAGATAAGAATGTATGAGTGTTTTCACTAAATGTCATCTTCACAATTTGAGATATTTTTATCTCTTCTGCCAGACTTCCTTTGCTTTAATCCTCTGGTCTTCCTGGGGCCATTGAACAAAACAAAACCCCCAAAAAACCTATCATGAAAAGCCACTCAGAGTGTTTGGAAATACAGATAGAAAGGTGCCCTGGTCAAAAATCCATGAAGGTAACATTGCATTGCCAGCATCTAAGACATAGATAGCGGATTATCAAATATCTTTTATTTTATGATTTGGGATTTCACTAACTAAAAATAACTTACTATCTCCATTGTAGTTGTTATCTTGATGTTGTTTACTTGGAGTCTTAGACGGTTATTTATAGTAAAGCGAAGGTTGTTGAGCCTCTAACTTGTCCTTAAAAATGAAGTGAAAAGTAGACATGTTAACAATGTCTAATTGAAATGTGTTGGATTATATGAGACTCCTATAATCAGCTCATGTAGCTGCTCACCAAACGGAAGCTTTATGATCCTCTGACGCCACTCACTGGTCATGCCTGGACTCAGGGAGCCATTTAGCAGCACAGCTAGGACGGGCTTGGCCTGGGTTTGGTCCCCTAACCCGAGCTGGCCCTTGTTTTGGTCTCTTGCAGCTCTGTGTGACATGCACCCCATGAGAGCCCTCTTTCTCATCCCCCGGAACCCAGCGCCTCGGCTGAAGTCTAAGAAGTGGTGAGTTTGGTCTTCAGTGTTTTACAGGTCTAAGAGCAGAGTTTTCTGTGATTCTCTTTTGGATGAGCTCAAATCCTCAGGTCCTGCTGACAAGATTAGACTGATACGTACTAAGACTCGGTGAGTGATTATGATGTTATTCATCTTAAAGTACATATTGAGGACCTGCTATTTGCACAGTAAGACCTTATCTTCACACCTTCAAGGTAAGGAGGTATTAGCTAAAATGGGTAGCAGAACCCAAGTAATAACATGGAAGCGCTTTGATGTATTACTCCGAGTAAAATCTTTCCTGGTAGCGCAGAACATCTCATCAGAAAGGGTGATAGTTTGGAGTCAGCCCATTAGGTTGGCTGACGTTCTTCTGTTCCTGAAGACATTAACTCCCTAAATGTGTCTACACGCTCGGTAGCATGCGAGATGATTTTACTGCTCTGTGCATGAGCATCTATAATTTTTATTTTTGCTATTGCTTTCTCTTTATGGCAGGTGATACTGGCTTCTTACTTGGGGCAGTGATATAACTTTCCATCTAATAAACTAATTCACATAAAAAGTGACTTAATTTAAAGAAAAATGCTAAGTGAATACTTGTATGGGTGGTGAAGTGTAGGGTAAAAATTGTGTTGGTAGCGTATGATTGACTAGAGTTTGGGAACAGAGTTCTACAGGTTAGGCCAGGAGCTGGACTTTTGACTGTTTTGTGCACTTACATCAGGGTCTTTGTATCTTGTCATTCTGTGACAAAAAATTCATTGCTCCTCCCCTCCCCCCTGTGGATATGGTATATCCTTCTTGGTACATTCTCAGTTCTGATTCCCTTTGCCCTGGGCACAATTCCTGGACCATTTATGACCTCCTACCCTTTTCTAGAGACATATTCTAGGCAGCTTGAGCCTGAAGGGACAAGACTCTTCTGCCCCTTTTCTTTTTTCTTTTTCTTAAAATAAATTTATTTATTTTTATTTTTGGCTGCGTTGGATCTTCGTTGCTGTGTGTGGGCTTCCTCTAGTTGTGGCGAGCGGGGGCTACTCTTCGTTGCGGTGTGTGGGCTTCTCATTGTGGTGGCTTCTCTTGTTGTGGAGCACGGGCTCTAGGCATGCGGGCTTCAGTAGTTGTAGCATGCGGGCTCAGTAGTTGTGGTTCTCGGGCACTAGAGCACAGGCTCAGTAGTTGTGGCACACGGGCTTAGTTGCTCCACGGCATGTGGGATCCTCCCGGAGCAGGGCTCGAACCCGTGTCCCGTGTCCCGTGTCCCCTGCATTGGCAGGTGGATTCCTAACCACTGCACCACCAGGGAAGCCCCTCTTCTGCCCCTTTTCATACCACTTCGTGATCAGGTCCTTGACCGAGGCCCTCATGTTTCTCACGCACCCACCCACTCTCTACTATACGAGAGCAATCTTAATTAATACCATCATCCAGGAATGACATAGCGACCCTGGTTGAACAAGAGAAAGGCGTACTGCACAGAGAGAGGGAAAGGAAGCAGCCAGAAGAGACGACAGCCTCGGAGTTGGTTGCCGAGGGCTGCACAGGAAGAGAGTGAGAGTTGCTATTGGTAACGAGGAGGCAGAGCATCCCTCCTCCCCTCTCCGGAGGGTCACTGTGGTGTGAGATAATCACTCTCTCCCCAGCAACAGCCTTCCATTGGGCACACACAGCACGTGATCCGCAGGCGCCCAGAGGCACTGCTTCCTCCCTTCTCTCTGGAACAGGCTCCTGGGGAGGAGTTGGCTCGGTTGTGTTCCCTGGGAGTGTCGGTGGCACTGTGAAGCCCTCCACTAGCTTTCTGCTTGTGCTTCATGCCACGCCTCCCGGGAAGTGGGGCGGGAGGGCTGCTGAGTCCAGTGGGCTTCACCTGCCCTGTGCCCTCCCTTCGCCCTCTGCCCTCACTGCTGCTGGACAAAAGGACCGTCCACACGTCTGCTGTTTGTCTTGCACGGTGTGGCCCCACACCTCATTCCAGAAGTATTTGTGTTGATTGCCAACTTTAAAAAATCTGGCAGTGGAGCAGTCCATGGAGATTTCTGACCTTTTTTGACAAAGGTGCAACAACACTGTCCTGTGCAGTGGTTCCTGCTCCCTTTTAAGGTGAGAGCTTGTGCTTCTGCCCCAGTCACTGCCTCTCCCAACCCAGAAGCTGGTACCTGTTGGTCACCCCACTTGTCCTGTTTCCTTCTTACCCCTGGTCTGCACCTCCCTTTGTGTGACCCGTCTGGCCCCCAGAAGAGTGAGTGACTGGCCCCGGCACTACAGTTTCTGCATTCATTGACCTTGCTCCAAAAAGGGCAAACCCTGCACTGACCTTGTCTGAGAAATACAGACCTGGGGAGACATACAGGCTAACTTCTCTGCTGTAAACCTTTGGCAATGAGAGCTAATTGTGGTAATGCTGTAGGGAGCTGGATCCGTCCAGGAACAGTGAGACCAGGAAGGAAGGAGACCAGGCCACCTTCATCTCGCCAGCCTAAGCCAGTTACAAGCAGGAGCCCCACACTGCTAGGCAGGGGGTGGGAGAATGACTTGACTGTTGGAGAGCAAGTGGGAAAAACAAAAGCCCTGGTAAAATACCCTTTTTCTCTCAGAACCCAGCCTTTATAAAGATAGCTGTGCAGCCTCCGGCCACAGGACACTTGGTGTGGCTCGAATTTCTCTGCAATAGAATTCCAGTGTTTAAGTGAAAATACTTAGGCACCTCAGAGTACTTGTCTTGAACGACCAGGTCCAAAGTGATTTAAAATAGAATCGGGTTTGAGAGGAAGTGAAATATTTCTGTCTGTTTTCCTTTTCCTTCTTTCCCTCCTCCCCCATCAAAAGAAACACAACTCTGAAATGTTCTTTTATATCCAGCTCTTCTCTACTTAAATGAGTTACCGGATGAAGTATACTGTTCCTAGTGTATATTCCAGCATATGACCAAAGGGGACGCCATTGTGGCAGAGACGGCAGTGAACTCTTCATTATAAGCATTCATTCAGCTGAGGGTCATTTCCAAGGAACTTGACTGAGTCTACAACATACAAGGCATATGTATGTTGTAGACTCAGCAACTTATATGTATGTATGTGTATTTAAGATATATATAAAAATTTAAACTATATATGTAAAGTATATGTTTAATCTTTTTTATATATTTTTTATTGAATGAAGGAGACTTTAAATTCTGTAGTGCTTTACGATTTTCAAAAGTTTCACACACATGATTTTGTATAGTCCCATAATAACCCTTTTTTTTCTTAACCACGGCCCTGCCAGACAGATGCTCTGAGTCCTCATTTTATGGGTGAGAGTCTGAGGCTTGGGTAGGTTATCCTCCTTGCACTAGGCTGTACAGTCTTCGTTTGCCAAGTTTGTAACCCATATTCTTTCTACTGTACCATTTGACCTCTTAAAGTTCAAGGTTAAAGTGGTAGAGAAGGAGCTGTACTCGTCCCTAAGTGTGAGCACTTGTTCCTTGAGCCTTAACATTAGGGAAACGAAGGCAGTCACACTGTTTTCCCCTTTTGTTATGGGAGGAAAGGAGAGCATCCCTGCAGCAAGAGCCGGTCCCTTCCTTCCCCATCAGCGTAGTGAGAAGAGGCCTCGGGCTAAGGAAGTCCTGTGGTCAGGGCTCCAGTCAGTGTTCACGTGGCTCAGACCTTCGATTGGGCCTCCAGGAGGGTTACAACCTGAGTTGAATCAGAGGAGAAGAAGGATGCTCTCACCATCTGTCTCCACGTCAACAAATGACCCAGTGCGGTGGGATTCCCATGTTCCCCTCCTGTCTCTACTCCTGCTCTGTGTGTGGTTGGATTCAACCCACATAGGTAACCATCCCCTTCAAAAGATTTCCTCTCCCTTCTCTTCCCACCGTGCTCACCCCGGCTCCCCTGCCCTCACACATATACTCCATGCCGTAGCTTCCCTCCAGGGGTCTCTGGAGAAGGATGGAAATGACTCTCTTCCTGTGAAAGATGGTCAGTCTTGTCCTTTTCACATACCCTTTAAATGTGAAGGTTCCACACAGGCAGCACTCGATTGAACTCATCAGAAAAGTCCTAACTGCTTATCACTGGAAAGAGGTATAAGATTCCCGGTCCGAGCCACTCGTGCTCCAGATGGAGACTGGAGGCCTGGTGTGGTTAACTGGCTTATCCCGAGTCCCCGGTTCATGGCAGCCTGGAACCCCAGCCTTCTGCTTTTACTCCAGAGCTTACAACCATTTCTGTTATTTTATGCAACACCAGTTCTGATTCTTGCTGCGTTATCAAGCACTTTTGTTTTCGAAATGACAATGCTCTTGGGTGGGGGGGAGACTGTAAATAAAATCATGATAATAGAAAGGAAATATCAGAAAATACTTCATATAGACTGAATTTACTACTAGTAGTGTGACTTTGGACTTTACTGAAATCAAAACAAAAGTTATTACACAAACTTTTTTTAAATTAACCTTTTTTGGCAGTCTCCTTAGAGATAATAATGATCCTGGTGGCTTTTCCTTCTAATGCATCTAATCCTAGTGTATGTAAAATAATTCCCTTAAAGAACTCTATACTATTTGGTTCAACCCAAGTGGGGAAAATCACCTTCAAATTTCTGCTCGTAGCCCTCAAGGCAGATCCTCCTGTTCTCTAAGCCTGGTAGTGGTCAGAGATGCTGGGACATTGTCATCATAGTAATAGTAATAATAATAACAATCATAGCAAACACACATACAGCATTTATGATGTAACAGGCCCGGTTCTAACTCATTTAATCATCACGACAGTCTTTTGAGATAAGTACTAACAGTATCCCCATTTGCAGCCAGGGAAACTGAGGCACAGAAAAGTTAAGGGATCTGCCTAAAATCGCACAGTTAGTAAATGATGGAAACTGAAAGAGAGAAAGAGAGTAGTTCCGGGCAAGTGCAAATTTTAAAGATCAAATTGCACGTAGGGAGCCTGGAGATTACCAAAAACTTAGAGCCCAGCTCACTAAAACATTACAGTGATTAATGTCATCATCGTTCAGGCATTTTTAATTCCTCTAACACAGTTTAATACATAAACAGGAAAAATCTGGGAAGATAAAGTGTTCAGTGACACTGGTATTAGAAGAACTAGTATCTCAGACTGTAAGTACCAGTCCCTAGCATTTATCTCTCGGTGCCAACCCTTGGGAAATTAGTATTACTGATCTTGAGCTTTTTTTCTTAAAGTGACAGAACTAAATTACCAGCCACCAAGACTGAAACAATAAAGTTATAGAAATGTACTTTAAACCCGTTAGGCCTCTCGGCAAAGAGTCAGGTGATGCTTAATGTAGGTGAAGTATTTTTACTTTTAATTAAGCATGCAATTAAGCATATTGATTCTTTGGTCACACTAACTTAAATGGAGACAATGCATCTTTCTTTGAAGATTTGTTTTAAGTAGCATTATTTCCTCTTCACTGAGAACCATTTGCAGATGACATGGGATGGACTGCCAGCTTTGTAGTTGTACACGTCTTGGCCCATCCTTTGGGCCCCAAAATATTCTCTTGAATATTTCTTGAGGTTCCTTCTCACCAGGAGAGATAATGGAAAAAAGACTCTGCTATAGGGCTTCCTAGTGGCGCAGTGGTTGAGAGTCCGCCTGCCGATGCAGGGACACGGGTTCGTGCCCCGGTCCGGGAGGATCCCACATGACGCGGAGCGGCTGGGCCCGTGAGCCATGGCCGCTGAGCCTGCGCGTCCGGAGCCTGTGCTCCGCAACGGGAGAGGCCACAACAGGGAGAGGCCCAAGTACTGCAAAAAAACAAAACAAAACAAAGAAAACCTCTGCTATAGCTGTTCCCATTAAACTCCCTGAACACTCTCTCATCCCGGAGATGTCTCTGCCTTTTGTGAGGTGTCAGTATCGGGGAAGGGAATGTACAGTCTATTAAGTCTGGATCTCTTTTTAAATTGGTTGTGATTTCTTTTATTTATCATCCCCTAATGAATAGTTGCCCTCTATAAAGAACAAACTTTTTCTTCCAAGTTGCAAGCAGAAAAAAAGAACTTCCATTTGCATTCCTCGTGAATATTTAATCACTTTCTGTCTTCATTTGTTTTTGTTTTCACCTTTTTAATGCTGATTTTCTACCTAGAAGAGTACTGTGTGGAGTTTGTCTATTTCTTTATGCAGGTTAACCTTATTCTTTTCATTTTATTCCTTAGGACAGTCCATTATTTCATTATGGTTTTTTGTGTTTTTTTGTTTATTTTTTTTTTTGCAAAGTCCCTCCTTAGATGATATCACATTAGTGCTTCCACAGATTAATCCAATGGATAGAAAGAAAGTGTATGAAGTGATATCTTCTCTCTAAGCCTTCATCTCTGTCCCTCAGAAGCACGCATTTGAAGCCACGTTACAGCTCTCGTCCAGAATTCTCACCCGATAACCATCCACGCATTCATCTGTTTGTCAAGCACGTAGTGTGCTCGTGATAGGAAGGTGACTCAGGCAGCTCCCAACTCTGGGGAGAATTTCCAGTGTCAGGGAGGCAGGGCTACAAGCTGAAGGACTTAGAGGGAGATGCTTAGAATGTCCATCCTACTGTTCCTATGTCTAGTCCTCAGTGTTTCCAATCCTGATTCATCCTGAGCTGACCTTCAGGTGACCTTTACTTCTATGTAAAATAATTTAAAAGCTTGAACATAGCCTGGAAATTTAAGGAGGAAAAAATACCAGTAGTTCAGTACTACTTTAAAAACACGGAGTAAGGTGAAAAACTGCTTTGACCGGGGCAGAAATGGAGAGTGGTACGTAGAGCAGTGCCCTCTCCCATTTGAATCTTGAAGAACACGCTCACCATTGTGTTCTGTGTGGTGAGGACACCTTTCAGGCCTGAAGGATATATATATACAGAGCCCACTGGGAAGTTTGGGGAAGCTTGCGGAAGCTTGCTTCTGGGATCTGCTCCTGTAACTCCCCAGTGCTCCACAGGAGGGCAACAGAGTGCGCAAAATGGATTCATTCCTGAGCAGGGTTGGGCCACGAGGAGGGTGAGCAGGGTTCCTCCAACGTCTCCAAGGGTGATGTGCCCTGCTGACAGTGGGGCACCTCGGAAAGGCATGCTGTAGAGTCATGAGCTTAATTATTTATGATGCTGGACAATTTCTTGGAACTTTCAGACAGAACATGCATGCCCAACTCATGAATCATACTCAAGTCATCATTTGTATCTACCACGCTATGGACTTGTGCCCTATTCGCGGGTATCTCTCACAGCTTTCCCCTGCCCCTGTGCGTCTCTGGAACAGGGTTTATCTCTGAGGAAATGGTGCCTTTCTAGAAAGAGATAAATTTGCTTCTGGGTATGAACTTAATCCCTATAAGTTAAGTTTCCAAGTCTGTGGATTGATAGCAAACATACACATACATCCTGTTCTTATTCATTGGAAAACAAAGTTCAAAAGTGATTCAAAACTGCCAGTTAAAAAATTTGCCTAATGTTCATTTTACCATATAAGAATCCTGCTCATTCCTACATAATGTACTCCCCCTTACCTGTCCAACCCTGGTTTTATTTTTCCCAGCTTGCGTTTTCTGCCACATTTAGAGAACTCACCTCAGTGTCCCCTGACATATAGTATGCTCAATCCCAGCCTTAGTTTTTCTCTGATTTTCTACTTCCCTGAACTATCCTTTCCCAAGAGTGATTTTTCTCCTAATTCTTTAAGGCCCAGCTCTGGTTCCCTCATTCCAATAGACCTTCCAGGTGTGATTTTTATCGGGGTCTTTCTCTTCTCTGGTGCCTGTGGTCTTCTGTATGTACAAACTGTGCAAAAATGCTTTCGTGCTATGACTACCATACACTGCCTGAGTTGTGTGTTGATGGCAGTGATGCCTTTGAACCCCTTTGTGCCTAATAAATAGCTAGACCGACTTTGTGATTGGTTGATCCCTAAAGTTTGCTTTTCTTTGGATTATCTTTTAATCTATGGGTTCATCTCTTCTGTTCGGCAGGTCAAAAAAATTCCAGTCCTTTATTGAGAGCTGTTTGGTAAAGAATCACAGCCAGCGACCAGCAACAGAACAACTGATGAAGCATCCATTTATACGAGACCAACCTAACGAAAGACAGGTCCGCATTCAGCTCAAGGACCATATTGACAGAACAAAGAAGAAGCGAGGAGAGAAAGGTGAGACACACGTTTGTATTTCAGCGAGGGAAACAAAAGACCGAGTGAGTCATGGGCTCTTGAGGTATTGGAAGGTCGGTGGGGATTTCAAATAGGCCTGCATTGTTCTTTAGTGTGAAGGGCTGCCTCTGAGATCACAGCCTGCGGGCAACACTAGGGGGGAGGCTGCTGAAATGGAATCTTTCATGAAAGAATAGAACCTTGGGAAATATTACCTTTTCCAGGCACTGAACAAAAAGTCATGTTGAGTGATACTATGAAGTGGTTTAATACGACAAGTGATTTTCTTAATTCAAATGAATATTCATGTTTCGAAGACTCAACATCTACAGAAGACAAGCAACCTTAAAAAAATAAACCCATCTAGTTGACATTTTTCGGTACTGGCACTCTTCACCATTTAAGTTTTCGTGCTCTGAGACTCATTTCTAATTTAGTTATTTGGAAGTCAGAATGACTTTTATTACAGTCAAAGCGATATAAAAGAAGTTGCCAAGCTGCTATATGGAATGTCACATTTTCTTCTTTATAGATTCAAAAACTCTTTTCTCTTATGACTCTAGCTGTTAGACTCTACTACCTTTTCACTGCATCACTGGAAAAGACATGAGTCAAAACTTGGGGCCCTGGGACTGTGCCAAAGTTGTTTGAATAGAGACGCAAAATTCCTTAACTAGCATCCTGACCAAGGTGAAAACTCATGTGGTCTGGGGCAGGTTTTATGACTTAGCTGGGTAGGAAGGTAGGGGAGGTGGAGGATGGGAAGGAAAGGGGGGGATGCAGAGAACAGACAAGGTGAGAGCTCCCTGGTGGGAGGAGGAGGGGGCAGCTGGCCAGGCTGACAGTGAGGGGGCGATAGAGGGCTGGCCAGGTGAGCACTGAGCATGCGGGGGCCGGGCAGGTAGAGAGCAGAGGGGGAGGCCAGGGACCGAGGGTGGGAGGTACATGGTGATGTGCTTGGCTCCACTTCTGTACTCTCCATCTTTCTCCTCTTTTCTTCACGATCCAGACGGAACGGGGAGGGTGGTGGGCAGCACAGAAGAGAGGGTGCACTCCTTTTATTTGAACTTCGCCTCTTCTTTGCCTCTGCAGTTAATATCTTCAGGTGGCAAGGTATGAGCAGGGTCCTAGGGGTGGGGTGGTGAGCCCTGTAGGGGTCAGGACTGGGCAGAGGTAAGCTCAGCAGAAGCTAAGGGAGGAGAAATCCTCGGTGAAGCTTCAAGGGAAGAGTTCCTTCTTTGCAGCCGGCCTCAGGGACGCAGGAAAATGTGTGATCAGGTTAGACTCAGGAACGGGAGGTTATGAAGCTAATCCAAAAAGGAGGCTCATCTTCAGTCGTTAGCGGCTGGAGACGGATGACGTATCAATCAGGGCCCAAGGAGTTGGGAGGGCAGCCCAAGCTGGAGGAACTAAGCTGGAGAGAAATAGATGAGTCGGGTCAAAAAGTGCCGGAACTGATTTTTCAACTGCTACTTATTAATAGTGGTCTTGGGCCCCTCCATGAAGTCAGACTTTTAAAGGGAAGAGTGTAGTGTTAATCCACTATACTCCAATATGAAATAAAAAGTTTAAAAAATAAAAAATTTAAAAAATAAAGATAAAGGGAATAGTTTAGGGCAGTGTGTCAGACATGCAGCCCATTAAAGGCCAACTTTTCTAAAAAGAAAATTTATTTTCCTGTAGGTGTATAGAATAGGTTAAGTACTCGGACTCTTCTTTTCAGACTCAAATTCTGAGTTCAAATTCTACTTCTACCCCTTAATGGTTATGTGAACTTCACCCCAGTTTTCTCATCTTTAAAATAGGAATGGGGGTATAATAATAATTAGTATTGTCTGGCATTTTTACAAAGATTAAATGAGATGATACATGTAAACTGCTTGACACAATGCCTGGCACATAGATGTACTGAATAAATGTAAGCTATCCTTATTTAGACAATTCTTATTGACCTACAGTTTTTCAGTACCGTTCAGGGTTACTTTCTGAGATCATGTGACCTCTGCCTCTGACCTGTGAGTAAGAGTGGGTAAAGCTTGTGCCTTGGATTGTTTTCACATTTGGGGGGCACAAACTCTAGAATGTGACTTAGAACTCACCACCCCATGAAAACAGACTATTTTTAATGTGTTCCCTCTCTGCAGGGTAAAGAATAAGATCCTTGGGAGTAGGCTTACTCGAGAGTTGCATGATGATTTAAGGAACCTCATTCTGTTTAGGCTTCGAGCCACCAGCAACCTTCTTTTTTGTCTGCTCCCCAAGAAGGAGTGTTGCTCAAAATGAGACTTCATTCCAGTTGCTCGGTTTGATTAAATGACTTAACTTGCTCCTTCTAATATTTTTTCATTCTCTTAGTAGTTCTAAGACCAGCTTCTGGTAGAATCAAAAATTTTTAATGTGCATTGCTTTATGATTTTTTTAACCTGATATTATTTTTTCCTTCAGATATGTTGATACATTGCTAATTTAAGCCACTAATATAAAAGCAATCATGCTGGATCCTGGTGAGGTGTTATAGTTGAGGAGATTGACAAATGAAATTTTTACCCTAGAGAGGAGAAATAATTAGATTAATTGTGTGCTTCTTTTCCTTGCTATAATTTACTTTACTAGATAAAATTTCTGCATTTTACTTTGAACTCTGTTGATTCATTTAAGGAAAGTTTGGAATGTTAAACGTGCAATGTGGAATACTGAAACACTTTATGAAGGTTCTTTACATTTTCATAAAATAATACTTTTTAAAAAGTAGCCTGAAAACTTCATACTTATCTAAACATGTGAAGCTAATTTTTACATGGTTTTTAAAAATACTCTTGAAGTCATTGTGCTATGGCTTCCTTTCATCATCCCTTTAATGGCTAAATAGTATGGAAAGCAAAATGTGTTTATGATCAAATTTCATAGTTCTCATCATGTGACTGCTGCCTCCTGGTGGTAACATAACCAAATTGCAATTTCAGTTTCTTTTCGGGGGTGTACAAATGTCTTAAAAGTTGTAATTACTAACACATAGCTATCAAGGGATGATAGCCCTGTGACAACCTCCCTGCTTAAAATGAAAAGCTCCTCCAAAGTCTCCCCATTGCCTACGGAAAAGTCCTCAGCATGGTATATATAAAGATCATTAAGCTATATCAGACCTGCTGGGCTTTCTCACTCCATCTGCTTTCTCACACCAGCCACTCACAACTCAGTATTTCCTGAACATTCATGCACTATAATACTGTTAGCCTTACTCAGGTGGTTATGTTGCTTAGAATGCCCCTTTCCCAGCACTTTCAGCTGCCATCTGCCTAAAAAAGGGCTACTGATCTTCCAAGGTCCAGCTCATTTCTTCCTCAAAGACTTCACTGTTCCCTTCCCCCATTATGACCCATGGACTTAGCTGCTTTTTTGTCTGATATCTCATTGCTTTTTTTATGTAATTCTATTTAGTATATAATGTGTTGGAAAGAATGCTAATTATAAAGTTGGAAAAATTCTGGATTGAATTCTGAATCCAAATCTCAGATTTATTAGTCATATTACTAAACTGCTTATAATCTTTGCTTGCAAAACGGGTATTATGTTAAAGGATTGTTATGAGAAGTACATGAGAGAACATAAGTATCTAGCATAGTGACCAGCATGGGCGATACCCAATAAAAATTAGTTCTCTTTCTTCATAATCATGGAGATTCTGATTATTTACTTATCTATCTTGACCATTAGATTCTAATCTCCTCCGAAGCAAAGACTCGATCTTGTTCGTTATGGCATGTTAACTTGCTTCATATATTAGGGAATTAAATGAATGTCCCCAGTGGGTCAATCAAAACACATTTAACTATATTTTTAATAGCACACGTTGTCAAAAGCTTCTGTCTGGTATTAAGATATCTAAAGGCAATTTGTGAGTCTATGTAAGTCATAATAAAATTCCTACGTAAAAAATGATTACTCCTTGTCAGTAAGTTAACAGTGGCCCAATAAAAGATTGGGTTAGGTGGTCCTATAAGGGGAGTTAACACAAACTGAAAAGTTATGTTTCAGCTCCTTGTCTTCACTTTTATGTGAACGCCAGGCATTAGGGAGAGAATCTAGAGTCGGCTGGGGCAGTCTTGGATGTTAATTCCACGTGCTTAATCTAGCTGGTGGGCACTGTTGGATCACAAGTCAGGAGGCCTGGAGCCTGTCCCAGGTCAGCATTAAGGACAACTCTTTGGGCCTCAGTTTACTTATACATAAAATGAGGGCATGAGCTTTACCGAGCTGTAGCATCTTTTTGCACACTAATATTCTGTGGGTCTCTCTTTAGATGAGACGGAGTATGAGTACAGCGGGAGTGAGGAAGAAGAGGAGGAGAATGACTCGGGAGAGCCCAGGTAGGCGAGCAAGAGCTATCTTCTCAGTTTCACATTTTGCACTGTGGTTGTGTGAAATTCACGTCCTTTTGATTTATAGGTTCATTTTTAAGAATCCAGCAGGGTGGTCTTATTTAATTTATTGCCCACAAATGTACTCATTAATTTGGGAAAATTTCCCTAGGCAGACTCTTACAAGAACATGGAAATCAGGATATTCTTTATCTTGTCTTTCAAGATTTATTTCCTTGTTTCCTCACCTGTGTAACATGTAGAATGGGTAGGAGGCAATGATCTGGGTAATACAGGTCTAAAAGTGCCTAAAACTGCAACTCTCTGGAGACCAAAGTGGTATTTTTGGACTTGAGTTATCCAGTCCATTACTTCATACCTTTGAGACATTTAGGTGGCCACTGTCCTCGTCACATGGCGTGTGTTTTCAACACAGCCTAATCCAAGAGGAAACAGTTTCCAGGAAATCAGATTACACTCTAGAGGTGAACCCTAAATAGAAACGTCCACTCCCATTCCTGTTGTCATACGTTGGCCCCCAGAATCAAGTGCTGCTTTACTAGCGTCATCCCTATGTGTTGAATTTCACTTGACTTTGATTCTGACTTTCTTCTAGTCTGTGTTCATAAGTAATTAATGCCAGTGTGCTCACACTGCCAGGATTTCTCTTTTGTAAGAGAATTCAGCTCATGGCAGTTTGGTGAACAAGGGGCGTGGGCATGCACACCAGGGCGGATGCACTGTACATGTGAAGTGAGATTGCTGGGGGAAATGCACAAAGCAGAAGGATCACTGGGGTATATGGGTCCCCATCCTCTAGCCATCCAAGGAAGGGACCCAGTACTCAATAAGGAGCAGTTCTTGCATGACTGAGGCAGAGCTTCTGAACCAGGGAAGGGGCCAGTTCAGCCACTGCTGCTAGAACAAGCTAGTGCACTCCTTTTTCTGAGCTATTTCAGACCTGCCAAGCTGGATTATTGCTAAAACTACTGGAAGAGGATGGGATTGAGGTTACAGGGCCATCAGTTTTTCTCTCTTCACCTGTTACGGGAATTTTCAAGGTCAAAGACTGAAAGAGAAGTCTTTCCTTCTATCTGGACACTTAATATGTTTTCTTCCCCTCATTTAGCTGCATAAATATGGTGACTGCCAAGTAGTGACGTGGAAAATGAACATTCTTGTAAAGCAAAGGACCAAATGCCTTGTTTTCAGAGTCGTACGCTATTTTTCCAAAGCTCACCCAGACAGACATGTCAGCCCTTCTGATCACTCTCCACGGAGCTGAGAACCTCACCTTAACTAACACTTGCTAAACCGCATGTTTGGAGTCACTGAGTGGATGACCTAGCCATCTCTTCACATTTCTATAATTGTCACATGTCTTTATATCACATAGAAGATTATGTTCCAAGTCCTGTTTTCTGGACACATCTAATTAATTTTCATGAAATCCTGTAAAATAGAAAGGGATAGTGGTTATCTCATTATAGAAATGAGGTAACAGCCCAACAGTAGCAATCGGCTTACACACGGAGTTAATGATTCAGTCAGTAATACATCTCGGGTCGCCTGACATTGATTCAACATCAGTTAATATTAATGGATCGTCCTCATGTGCATGGGAAGCTGGGTTCCCTAAGCCCCACCACCTTTGCACAGACCATGTGGCCTGAGTAGATAAGCCCCTCCTTTGGGGGGTTGTTTAAGGTTCTACACAAAGGCTGTTGGTTTTAAAGGAGGCGTATTAGTAGAATCCAAGCACTGTCTATGAACCACGCCTTTTGATGTCATTTTATGGCAGTATCTCACATAGCACGCTACCCACTCTCCAAGACAGAATGATCCCCTTGTCAACCACCAAACCTGCTCCTCCCCTTTCATTCCCCATCCCGGTTTGCGTCACCGCCACAGCCCAGACGCCAAGAAAAAACCTGCAAGTCATCCCTCACTCCACACATTAGATCCATCAACAGGTTTCATTGACTCTCTCCCCAGATGCCGCCTCCATCCCCACCTCCCCGACCTGGTTAGTCTCTGCCCCAGAGCCACTGTAGTAGCAGCCCAACTGGTGACCCTGCTTGCCCTTGTACCCACTGCAGAACATCATTTATTCAGCTGCTAAACAAAGCTGATCGTGTTACTCTCCTGTTAACAAGCTTTCCACGTGTGGCTTCCCCAGCCTCATGCTTTTACCCTCTGCTCTGTCTCTGACTTCCTCTTGTACCCCTCTCCCTCTCATTTGCTCTGCTCTGGGAAGACTGCCTGGGCTTCAGACCCTCAAAGAGGCCACCCCTGTTGCCACGACAAGCCTCTAAACTTGCTTTTCCTTCTGCTTGAAAGGTTCTTCCCCTACCTCCTCGTGTGACGGACTCTGCATCATTTGGGGCCTATCTCCACTATCAGCTTCTGGGAGAGGTCTTCCCCGATCACCCCATCTCAAGCAGAACCCTCATCCTAGCCCCAGTGCCTTGCCACTGTCCGTTTTAAACTCTTACACTTTTTCGTCTTCTATAGAGCCTATTAATATCTGAAATTATGTTATTTGTAATACTTTGTCTGCCTGTCTAATTATTTGCCTGTCTCTCTTCCCCACAAGAAAATAACTAGAGGGAGAATTTGTTTAGCTACTGCTGTATCCACTAGAGCCTATTATAGTGCCTGCCGCATAGTAGGTACTCAGTAATTATTTAATGGATTTATTTCAAGGGGAAGCTGCCAGAAAGATTAAAAGGGCTAGGTCTGTATGAGTAAGTAGGAACCATGTCCCTCCTCCTTGCTGGGCTGCAGAACCAAGGAGTCTGTAGCTTTGTGCTGTTCAAGGAGGTGATGCGGGTGAAGACGATGTACCCATCCAAGTAGATAGAGCAAGCTCGCTCACCGCTCCAGATTATTCATTTTTATTCGCTGGCTTAGCTCTTGCCTTTCTTAAAAGTGAAAATAAGCTGGCCTGGGGCTCAGGGCTTGCGTACTCACTACAGCCTTTAGAAATAGAGGGCGAGGGAGTGGTGTGGACGGTCCGGGAGAGAGGTGATGGCTTCAGGCATGTGACATCTCTGCGGCGATCGAGCGGCATAGGCATGCAGTAGTCACACTGAAGGCGAGGCTGGACGCGCGTCTGTTACGTGGACTCTGTTTCTTTTGCGGGGTGAGCAGTGGAATTAACGGAGGGTCTGAGAGCCCGTGCTTGAGCATGTGGCCTCTTTCCCCGCAGGTGGGTGAGGTACCCGCCTGGCTCGCCTCCGCCGGGACCCCCGGTAGCGAGGGCCCCGCCCTGAGCGGGAGCCTGATCTGTCTCTCCTGCCGCGCAGCTCCATTCTGAACCTGCCCGGCGAGTCGACGCTGCGGCGGGACTTTCTGAGGCTCCAGCTGGCCAACAAGGAGCGGTCTGAGGCCCTGCGGCGGCAGCAGCTGGAGCAGCAGCAGCGGGAGAACGAGGAGCACAAGCGGCAGCTGCTGGCGGAGCGCCAGAAGCGCATCGAGGAGCAGAAAGAGCAGCGCCGGCGGCTGGAGGAGGTGAGGACCCGCTCGGCCGCCTCTGTGACCCGCCCCTTGTGGCTGCGGCCCCCTTCCTGGGTGTCCGCCGTGGCCCGGGGTCCCGCCCGTGAGGTCGAGGCCTTAGCCTGCTTGGAGCGCACACAGCTGAACTGCAAAGGAGGCTGCAGCCAGGCACTCTTACAGGCGGGGGACTTCCCTTGCTGGGGGTGGTGTGACCTTGGCGTGGTCACATCAGGAAAGCAGGTGAAGGCTGCAGCCCCTTCAAGTCTTGCTCAGGTATCACCTTCTTAGTGAGGCTTCCTTGACCCCCTCACTTAAAATCACAGCCCCTCTCTACATCATGTCCTGTCGCTCTTCCCTGCTTAATTGTTTTTATATAGCTCTTATCACCTTCACACGTGTGTACTTCATGTACTTTCGTATATCTGTCTCTCCGCACTAGAATGTAAGCTCCCCGAGGATGGAAGATTCTTTTATCCCTATGTATCTCTACATCGTGTATCTAGACATTAGTGTCTAAAACAGTGACCATCACACAGTAGGCACCTCCTAAATATTTGTGGAATGAATGAACTAATAATATACAAGTGAATGAGTCAGTGACCAAGAGGTGAAGTATAGGTGTTGACTAGACCACAGTGAGTAGGCAGAGAAGCGAGACGTCAAATGTGGAAAAGCAGGGCCTGCCTATTGCTCCTCCTTTGTTACTCCTCTGAACACTGAAGAAAGCATTTCCCGAGTCCTTCCACGCACGCCTTGGTACCCAGGGCCTGTCCCGTAGCTAGTGGGCAAGACTTGCCTTCACCAATAGGTGTGCTGTCCTCTGTGTGGGAACCCATAGTGCCAGCCACACTTTCCTGCATGGCTTACCCTGGGCCAGGCTCTCACCCGTGTGGTCTTACGGACGTTTATTAAAGCCTCTTTCCCAGAACTTTGGTCCAGGGCCTCCTTCCTCTGCCAGATAAATCAAAACCTCTAGACAATTAGGAAACTGAGAGACCATAGCTGTTGGGGAAGTTGGATGGCAGATGAAAGCTTCACTAACGGCATGGTAATGGGGGAGTAATTTTACAGTTCTCCCAAACACCATCTTGCCCCTCATTAACGGTTTACAGCAATTCATTTGCTCTGTCAGGTGGCCACTGCAGTTAGAGGGTGGTGAATTGCAGACTCCAGGAGCGGCTTGCTTTTTAAGTCGTACATCCAGGTCCAGCCTTCCTGGATCAGTGAGGGCTTCCGTTCCTGTTTGCAATAAATCCCATCAACCTCATTATGTCCCTAGAGTATTAGTATGCAGACCGGCAGCAGTCATACCCAGCAGTTACAATTCCTGAGTGACTTCTGTGTGCCAAATACCGGGTGAGGTGCTTTGCTTACACCCAGGATGTCACCGCTATCGTGGAGTTGTGTATATCCATGATCTCTCGCGCAAAGTGTGCATATCTCCATTTAACAAAGAGGAAACTGAGGTTCAGAGAGGGGAAGAAATTGGTCCCACGTCACAGAGCCAGTACGTACAAAGCCAGGATTCACACCCAGGTCTCCCTTCTCCCAAGGGCCATGTGGGCCCTGATGCACTAAGGGTAGATATGTAATCAGAGCCGTGAACTGTGATCCTCAGAACTGAACCTTATAAGCATCTGCAAACAGCAGTAGGCAAATGAAGGACTTTCCAATCTAAGTAAGTCAGTCTAGGATGTTGTCGGAGGGACGAATGCTCAGCCCATAAAAGGTTTGAAGGTCACCTACCATCCTGTATTCTCAGAATTACACTATAGTAGACGGAGGCATTGTAGTGCTGAGGGGGCAGAAGCCTTCAAAGGCTCAGGCAAAGGCAGGGTGAAGGGAGGTGGGTGGTAATTAGCCAGCTCTCAGAAGTAAAGTACAAAGTGTAGGAGTGGAGGTGCCTGCCTCACCTCCGGTTACTCTCCTGGGCACGAATTGAGATTCTCAGACAGGTCCTTGCAGCTGTGCCTCGGTGTCGTTTCCTCCCGCCCACCCAGGCCGGCTGCAGCCTCTTGGACTGGCCCCCAGCCCAGCGCTGCACCGTTTCCTTCAGTCTCTCGGGTCTCCTGAGGACCATGGCCTCTGCTGTCTGGATCCAAGGCTTACTCCTTTTAACTTCTGATCAAGCCTCTCTCCGCAGCCAGGACCCTCTCAGGCTCTGCCCCCCAACCCTGCCTTTCCTGCTGCTTTCCTGATTTGTGGTTTATTCCTTCCAAGAGCATTTCCCGAGGCCCTCGCCTCACTGGAGCATCATGCCCTGGAAATCTGGACCATTTGCCTTTCCCCTGTCTGGCTAATGAGCTCCTTGCCTGGTGATTTGCTACACTTAGTTTCAGGCTAAAAGCATTTACCGAGGGCTTCCCTGGTGGCGCAGTGGTTGAGAGTCCGCCTGCCGATGCAGGGGACACGGGTTTGTGCCCCGGTCCGGGAAGATCCCACATGCCGCAGAGCGGCTGGGCCCGTGAGCCATGGCCGCTGAGCCTGCGCATCCGGAGCCTGTGCTCCTCAACGGGAGAGGCCACAACAGTGAGAGACCCGCGCACCACAAAAAAAAAAAAAGCATTTACCGAGTAACCCTAGAAAATCCCCTTGTCATCCCATAAAATGTTTAACATACCAGAGAATGCAAACACGTGTACACAGACACACAAGCACACTCTTATATGAATTTCCTTCTATTTTTTCTTTCTTTTTTTTTTTTTTAATTTTAACACAAGAACTCTTGGCCTTTGAACCTAGATCCTCAGTTGGTACAGTCTTTTCAGAGGATACATTGTATTGTTTTGGTTTTCTTTTTTTAGATTTTCTTCCTCTTGTACCTGGTTTGATCTATTTAAACATTATATGTTTTTTTTTTCATCAAGTTGCTTGAATAACAATTTCTAACAGTTAGGAAGCACTTAACCATAAGACAGGTACTCTGTTCAGTACTTCATGTGAATTGTCTCATTTAATCCTCACAAGAACCCCCAGTCTAAAGGTAAAGCAGCTGAGTCTCAGAGAGGTTCACAACTTGCTAACGGTCACACAGCTTGAGACAAAACGAGGTTTCAAACCCAGCAGGTTGGACTCCAGAGCCCAGCCAGTCGCTGCATCTGTCCTGCCTCTCCCCCGGCAAGCCAGAGTCAGTGTGCTTTTCCATAGTCTTCACCTGGCCTCTGCTTCTGTGGTCTCTTACACTGAGAATTTAAGGATTTCTGAGCAAGGTCAAAGAAGCGGCACTCAGGGGGGGCTCATCTTTGAGCTGGATTCTGGCTCTCAGGCTCCCAGTCAGAGCTCCTGCCAAGGCCTCCTCGTGTCTGTTCTTTGGCTGCACTTTCTGGAGCCTCTATCTGGGATGTTTTCAGGCTCAGTGGGGCACAGGCATCTAGTGGGGCACACCCTCTATGTCCCCAGCCCACGGGCACAGAAGGCGTGCATGGAGACACTTTGCTCTAGGCATCCATGTGCTTGCGCCCTAGCTTCTCACCAGAAGCAGGAATGCTTGTGACCACAGGGCATCAAGAGATTTTATCCACTTTATCTTTTGATCCTTTATCTTGCTTCTATTGCGCAATACAGAAAAAAAGAAATACTGAATACTCAGATGACTGTAAGTTCTGAACCCCTAAGTAATGACTGTCCCCGCCGCCCGGCATTCCTCTCCCGCCTCCGGTCCTGCTGGATCCCATCCACGTCTGCTGCCCTGGCCTGTGGTGACCACTTCTGTTTCTGATGCTGAGTAGGAACTTGCACTACATTGTCACGTAGGAACAGTTAAAGCTGGTAGTTAGGCTTGTGAACTTCGCTTCATTGTGAGCCAGGTGACCTTGTGTAGGCATCCTGGGAAATACATTCCCTTTTCCAAATAAAGGCCCTTCAGACACCCCTTTGGTGACCCAAGGCTGTGTAGGTTGTAGCCTCTGACTTCCTCAGTGATCTCAGATGTCACCCCCGACCAGAGTTTCTAAGGAATCCCTGTCTGCCCTTTGCTATTTATAGGCAACCACGTGGTTTTGGCTAGGTTCTAAACCAGGATCTGTATATTCTTAGGACTTTGTACACTGAATGTAGTCATTTACCAGTTTCATGAAAAGGACGTGGCTTCAGGCCAATTAACTGGTAGGTACACGACACCGCTTTTGACCAATGATAAAGTACAATTTATAACTAAGTTCCAAGAATCGGATTAAACCCAGCTAAGATGAATAAGTCCATCAATAGTGAGAAGAAGTACATAGAGGGCTTCTTCTATTTTTATTCAGTTCAGTAGAAGTTTCTGGCACTTGGCCTAGTCAATGCACAACTTGTTTTACTCTCCATCACAGAGTTAGGGTCCAGGAATCAGGACCCTGAGGTGCTGGGGCACCTACTCTGGTCATCTTTTCAGACCAACCTTGGGCAGAAGATTGGTGGTGATGCTTGATTCTGCTCAAGAGTTTTGAAATGATGTTAGTAATTACTATATATATTTTTCAACTAGCTGAGAGCCTTCTTTCTATACCTTCATTGTGGGGAGTGTATCTTTGAGTCACAGAAATGAATCGCATTGACCCCAGGAGTACGAACCTGCTCCATGGTAGCAAGTTTTACTCTTCGGAGAATTGTATTCAGTTCTTTAAGCCACTGAGATCTCATTTGGTGCCTCAAGGCGATCATAACATCATCCAGTTGTAAAAACAACCAGCTCTAGCTGAAAGATATTATACCGCTTTGGTTCTATCACCAGAAAAAAAAAAAAGTTAAATACCACCAGTATCTTTCTGGCCAGTCGTAGTTGAGCACGGATGTACAAAATGAGAGCCTGGAGTCTAAAATTCCCTATAAGCCTCTAGCTTTTTATTGTGAGTGACTGGGGCTTTTAAGGACATTGGGATCAAGTGTTTGTTTAAGTGTATGGTAGAATTAAAACTTTTGTCCTATTCCTACCGGCAGTCACTTGACAAATTTAGTGCATGCATAGCTCCACTCTGCGGACAGCCATGCTGGACCCTGGGAATGGTCTGCCCTTGTGAAGATGAGATCTGTGAGGG